CGTATCGTTTCAGCTGTTCAAAACGAAAGGCAACCTAGAAATACCGCTACAATTAGACCAGCTCTCGATATGGATCCACAAAACTTCTTCAGAGAGTACGCGGGAGCTGTTTCAGCAATCATGGGTCACTCGAATATGATCAAACGGGAAGATTCTCCATCAAGTGCCAGTGATGGAAAAACTGAAGACGAGAAGGTAAATCTGAATTCCAACAGCTCATCCATAATTGTTCCTGAAATTCAGAAGGACAGCCTTCAAGAATCAGCAAGTGCTCAGTTAGGAGAAATCTTGAAGTGGGCAACACAATTCCGTCTTTTTGCTGTTCTCACTGAATCTGAAAAGGTTAATTTTTGATGTTCATTGATCTCGATGTGTGTTTCGGTTTTTACAGCGCCAGATCATTCTGACACAGTGGCCACGTCTCTTGTGTATTGCGATGTGTGAACAGGCAGATGATGTTTGTGTTGACGAGCACCTCACCAGTCTCATGCTCAAATTCCGACGTTTAGACGTTTCGCCAGCGGAATTCAATTGCTTGAAAGCGATCACCATCTTCATGAAACGTGAGTTGAACCGCCGGCGGAATGGAAGTAACGGGGCAAGCATCATTACCGTATACCCTTTTCTCCCAAAGAGAAGCACGCCTTGTTGCTGTTGCGCTTCTGTTGGCCCGGAGCGTGATGGGTTTCGGCAATTGTGTTATCCTCTCGCCTTGGTCTTTCTACCAAAAGCAGATATGTGATACAACGGCATGCCATTAACTCTTTACCCGCCTGTGTCCCCGGAGGCTCGTCTGCGCATCCCAAACAAAGATACTCCATAGGGTCACGGCGCGAAAAGGTAATTTAGAGTTGGGCATCCCATTGCTTATTTGCTCAAACCCCGAGAAGGCATGACTTACTTCCGAATTCGATACTTTCAGTGTACATGTAAAACTTCTTTTTTGAAACGATGGGTCAAATGTAATAGGGATCGGTTTCATGAAATATGGGGGAAAAGATTGAAGGTTGCTTTCTGTTGTAAAATAAAACAAAGTGGGGTTCGGATAATTGAATTACAAGGGATATGTTCACAGTTCGAGATACATAAAACACTGAGGTTTTGTTCTAAGTCATATAATAGACTGATAAGTGGGTGTGAATGATATCACTTTCGAATTTTCGGGATTCAGAGAATGTGCGACTGCGAGTGAATGGCATACCATTAGTTTGTTCGCATCTGAAAAATTGGAACATTTCATAAATTCCAAATTCAATACTGTAATACGAAAAATGCTCGTTTAACATCCTGAAATATTGAAAAACAAGCACTTCTGACCATGCTTGATAGCAGCTCAAACGGGAACTTCTAGTTTTCCAAGTCTGGAGATATTTATGAGGTTATTCCGAAATTCAACAGAAAAAAAACGGCTTGGTTTTCCTAAGACCGGCCAAGAAAATTAAGACCGGCCGAAATATCACCGGCCGAAAATAACACCGGCCGAAGTAATTTTCGGAACCCAGAAAAATTATCACCGGCCGAAATAAGACCGGCCGAAATTAAAACCGGCCGAAGAGAGAAGACCCTTATCACCGGCCGAGCTCGTAAATAAGACCGGCCCATATTTTTCAAATTGTTTTCATTTTTTTTTGCTCTTATTGCTGTCGCCTGGTCCGTGTATTTCCCAAGCCTGTTCAAAAATGGTGTTTTACGCTTTCGAAGGTCAACTCAATCAGGTCACCATAGAAATAGGCTTAGAAAAGACATCAAATAGGCTTTTAGAGCACAAAATTAAAACAATATTGTTTATGTTCAAAAGATTCTTAGGAAAATCTCAATTCTTGGCCGGTTTTTTCACAAATTTGGGCCGGTCTTGTTTACGAGCTGGGCCGGTGATAAGGGTTTTCTCTTTTCGGCCGGTTTTAATTTCGGCCGGTCTTATTTCGGCCGGTGATAATTTTTCTGGGTTCCGAAAATTACTTCGGCCGGTGTTATTTTCGGCTGGTGATATGTCGGCCGGTCTTAATTTTTTCGGCCGGTCTTAGGAAAACCAAGCCAAAAAAACAATGTGTGTTATCGATCGCGCAGTTCAGTTTGCAAACATACAATTTATTCTAATTTTTCAGCTAACGAAGATCACCAATATCAATTCGAAGAACACCTTGATCAGTGCATATGCCTTCTTCAACAATGTTGCTTGAAACTCGATTCCTCACCATCCCGATTTGGAAAACTACTCCTCCTTCTTGCCGAACTTCAATTCTATCCAACTAATGATATCGAACTTCTTCTTGAATCTAAACTCCCTCACATTCTATCCGAATTTTTGTGACTCATTTTCTAACCATCTCACCTCTTCCATCTTTCTCAAAATTTCCTCTTCTAAGCCACATCACAAACGCATACATAATGATATTCAATTCAGAATACTGTTTTTTTCCTTAAAAATCTTAACCTATTCATATCTGTAAACGCAGATTTTTAAAACTTTTCTCACTATTCTTTCACGGCTCGGCGAAATCTACGCGGGTGCGTTACAACTATGAAACAGCCGAATTTTCTATGATTTTTCTGATTTTATTACATGAAAAGATGTATTTGAACACGCTGAATCCGAAAAATTTGGTTTCAATAGGGCTTTATTACTTAGCTTTTGAGATAATTCGATATTTGTCACAAAAAAGTACGAAAAACAACGGAAAATTGATGTTTTCAGCAATTTTCATCTCAAAAACTAAGTAATAAAGCCCTATCGAAACCAATTTTTTCGGATTCAGCGTGTTCAAGTACATCTTTTCTTTTAATAGAATCAAAAAAATCATAGAGAATTGTTGAGGTCCATTGCTAAATGTGAGCACGTTTTGCGCGTCGCGTAGATTTCGCCGGGCCGTGCTTTATAACTCATCCCACATTATTAGTATTGTCTCATGCAATTCTGCATTCTTGTCGTGTCACGTTTGATGATTTTTGTCACTGATGAACATTTCAAATATAATCAAAATCAAATGTATATAACTAGAAAAAAAAGGAGGAAGAGAAGGAAGAAGGGACCTTGCAGATTTCGAAGAGGGAACCAGCAGATTTGATGTTTCTCAGATTTCACTCGAGGATATGTGAGAAAATGGACGAAACAACCAAATGTGCCAGGGCTTTTTCATTTTTTCGACTTCTAACGTACATTTTGTATTTTTTTGTTTTAGTAGAACCTTTTTCTGAAAACGGTGTTCTGATAGGACTAGATAATTTCAACTCACACTCGGACATACATATATTTTTTTTATGGAAAGTCCTTAGAAGTCACAATGATTCGTAAGGCCCAACCAGTGGAGTAGTTTATATCGAACCACGTTTTCATGATCATAAACTGCATGTTTTATTATAGACAATTAATTTTACTGTGGAATGTTTGAAAAACTGAAAACAAAGCAAACGCACTTTTTCAGTTTGCTTCGTTGAACTTCGATTCTTGCTGCTTCTTCATTTTCACTACTAGATTACTGTTATAGGCGCGACCTACTACACAAGATTAAAAATGTTTACTATATAAAATCCCAAGAATAAGATGTACTATTGAAAATTCACAAAAACTTTTGAAAGTATGTGCACTTCCATTTTGAGTTTGAATAAGGAAAGTGTGATTGAAACTTGGTATGAACGAATGATTTCGAGTTTTGTAACAGGTTTGCCTTTTGAAATTCTACGGCATCTAAATTAAAAAAAATAATAAAAACTTTAAGAAATAATAGTTTCCAGTTATTAGAAGCCGTCTTTAACAAACAGTAGTCATTTGTCCTGTTAATTTTTGGGCTTGATTTTGAACGTGATGGATTCGATGACAATACTTATTGATATGAACGCTGATGCTGAAAAAAAGTTATTCATTGCGATGAAGCTTAACTGTAGTTCACGATATTGACGATATTGTTAGGAAGGTATTGAGGAGACTCGTTTTATCATAGGTACTGAGTACACCAACGTGGTCAAACCGTGAGAACTGAGTATTGTCGAGCGAGCACAATGGGTGATTTTTACCTCATTGAATAGGCAATCATACAGTCTTTCTTTCCCTTCATCACGTACTCTGAATACTATTTTTAGATGAAATTCTTTGTTTTTTCGTTTTTGCTCTACCCTGACAATGGCAAAATAGGCTCTGTTTATTTTTCCCAGTATTAAAACGTCATTTTGTCTAAAAAGAAACACAAGAATCGTGAGATGTCTCTGTCAAATCCTGTTTTCTTGACGGCTCCTTTCTTTGTTTCGTCGTTTTGTGAATAAGCCGTAGAAAACGGCTCTCATATTCCTGATCTTTCAGAAAAGAGCAAGAAAGTTTCAAAATGTCAACTAATTTGATTGGAATTCCCCGTTTAGTGATGGACACTTTTTGCTCGAAAAAAGACAGAGTGCCTTTTCTTCCTTCTTCTTTTTTGGCTGAGGTCTAATGTCAAATATAGACATGAATATGATAAAACGAGTGGTTTTGTGTGTAGTTGTCCATCAAAGTTTGAGCAAAACATGTCACCTCGTCCGATGTACATCGGGGCGTGTTGGTGTCACATGAAATTCTGGAAATACATATCAAGAGACGGCTATCCTATCCGAGAAGAGCTTTTATTCTCGACGGAGAGCACTTGAAAAAGGCAATCTCCATAAAATAATTTGGAGGCAATTTTGCGTGGTCGTATCACTTGTCACATCGCATATGCTCTATTTGACGGCTCCTTGTGCGCATCCTTCACATTTTTTCCTTCGGATTTTTGACGTTATGCTCCCCTGTATTCCCGGAATTTTTTTCCCCTCCTTGAAAATGTATGCATGAGAATTTCAAATATTTGGAAATGCTTGTTTTGTGGCTCTTGAAAACAATTGGACATCTAAAAATCTTCTTTTTTATCTATACCAGACATTGTTTTTCTCATTCTTTTTCTTCTCGTCATATTTTTTATGTTTTTCAGTATTTTGTGTGGTTAGGAAAAAATAATGTGTGAAAAAACATGAAACTGAAATAGAAAAAAAAGAGTTGCCTGCTGCTGGAATCGAACCAGCGTCGCCACGGCCACAACGTGGAGTACTAACCACTATACTAAGCAGGCCGAGAGAGAAACAAGTAAACGGCAAATAAATACTGACTGCTGGCAGTGGGGACGGCGGCGGCGGCGGCAGCAGAAGTTAGGAGTGGAGAGTGTGTGAACGGGGTGTTGTTCTTGAGAGTAACTTTGAATCAGATAGAGAATGATACTTCTAGGTTTCTATGAACACAACAGTTTGAAGATATTCTTAAGTTTTGAGAATATAACAGGCATTGTTTTTGTAGAATCAACTCGTTTCGTTCGGAACCTGATATCTCAAATTGAAAGATTTAGTATATTTGTACAGTTTCATGAAAATCAAATAAGAAACAGCTAAATTTTACATGGAGATGAAGATAATTATTATGTTTTGAACACTACGAGGACATCGTGAAAAATTTTCGAGATATGTTTCAAATTCTGTTTTGTTGTAGCATCAAATCTTCATTGACCATAAAATATAACATTTTTCAAACAAATAGTTTTCTCTGAAACTATGAAATCTTCAAAAAACGGGAATTTGACAACGGTTATCACAAAAAATCATTTTGTTTGAACTCTCTATGGGCTCCTGCTCAGTTCTTTGTGTCATTTTCACAACGACTGGTGTCCAAAATTTGCAAAACTCCAGGAGTGTCAAAAGTTCAATTTTAAAAACTAAGATTCCAATCAACAAGATTTCCTTTACCATTTCTGCAGAAAGATTCCAACTCACTTCTGAAAAAATGCTCAACTCAATTTCCGAAAGTGCACGTAGTTTTTCAAGTTTTCTAATTTCCTGTTCAATCTTCATTTTTTGACGAAATTTTTCTTGGCTGCTCCTCCTCTGCTTTATGACGTCGACCACACAAGAATCATGAAAGTTGACGCTACCGCCCCTAATTCCATTATGTACCTCTTCTCCTTTTCTTGGACCCTCACAAAATATTCGTAATGCGTGTCTGATCTTCCATGCCGCCTCCTAAAATTGAATTACCTACAATGGAAAATTGAAGGATGTACGTAAGAAGAAGAGAGAAGAAAGGCACTACTTCTTTCCTAATTCTTGATTTTTCTCACGATTTATCTGCTTGTTTCCAGGTTTTATTGCTAAATTTGAAACACGTGACTCATTTTTCCGTTTTCGATCCATTTCTTTCTTACAACTCCCAAAAGTACTTTGTACAGAATAAGGAAATGCATTTTTTTGTTGTACACTTGTCAAGTCATCTTTGAAAATACGAGACCTAAAACTAAAAAAAACGAGACGGCACCCAAAGTAAGTTTTTTTTCTTGGTACTTCTAATTGGATCTCCTCAAAAAGGAAATGTTGCCTTCTGAAAAAGGAGAGAAGGTGCGAGAGGAGTAGAAAATGTTCAACTTGTTCGACGACGTAGTGTATCTGCTGAGCACATCACTTAGTTGACGAGAGCCTCTCTCGCGTCAATTTGATTACCATCTCCTAACTGAACAACCAACAACACAACTACGATTTGGCTTTTCTTTTCTCTTCCTACACATTTTGGGCCCCTTTTTGACATTGACGGTGTGTGTCAAACAGAAATTAACTCAAATTTTGTTTTGTGTCACTATTTTTGTTGACAGTTTTGAAATTTATGAGTTTTGTTATAGTAGTGACAGTAATCCTGAAAATTCGAGCCAATTAGGAGGTTCAAGACTATTCCAGGAGCCGTAAACACATTTTGTTTGTTTTTGTCCCAGATATTGCTTTTGTGAACCATATACCGTATTCTTGCTCATTCATCTTGACTCTTGTTTTTTCTTCTCATTTTTTGTGTTTTGAAAAAACCAAGGAAACGTGAAATGTAGCAGTTTTCTGAAAATTAAGGTCACGAGGATGAATCAACGTGTTTTGTGGGTGTGAATGACAGTTTTACGAGGTCAAGCACTTTTTTGATATTTTCGAGTGTTCCTCAGTCAATATAAAAGCCAAAACTCTGAGCTAGCATGAAGGTGGTCCGATCTCTCTTTCGCTCAGTTATGATTCTGAATGACTGAGCTAACGTTTTTTCATAATTTTTTCTGAAACTCAAAACAACTTACCTTAAGGATCGAATCTAGACTTCAAAATCTCATGTGTTTCTTTCACAGTTCTCAAGAAACTTCTCAAATTTTCTTAACTCACTCCTCTGTATAGATTGTAAAACGTTAAACTTGATAAATGTAGCGTTATAAAATAATGGATAACATTGGCAGTGGTAGTGGGTTAAATGCTTGGAGTAAGTGTAATAAGATGATGAATTGCATCAGGGGACTTAGTAGCAAAAGAGGGAGGCTGTTGGGTCTTTAAGTGCACCACCACCTAAATCATTCGGCCGACACGGTGGTGTCCTGCTGCGGTGCGACCACTGTTTCTTCATCTATCACTCAATCCTCCCCTTCTGTCTCGTAAATGAATGCAACAACCTTTAGTACCTCGTTTTTTTCGAACAAAAAATGCGCGAATGAGATTGGATAGAGACATCCTTGAGTTTCATATCATACGACCTTTGAATTCGTTTTTTCTCCAAATATATATATATATATATATTTCAATTTATCTCAAGATCTTGTCAAGACTCTTTACTCTTTGTATGAGAAGGCTATTTTGAATGCGTAGGCTTAGATAACCTTCGGTCAAATAGGTGTCTGACACGCATAGTTTTGTTGTTGAAGCTGAGGTAAAGAAAAATCATCGCTCGCTGGTTTTTGTGGTGTTCTTTGCGATTTCCTCATTTATTTGCTAAAGTTTTGCGAAATTTTTTCACCAGAACCAATAGAACCAGTTTTCAGGTAAATCCGCAACTTTTTGATTTTCGCTTCACGTTACGAAATATTATTCCATAGCAGGCTTGTTGAGTCATCTGAAATGTGACAAAAAGTGCAAACTTTCTTATATCACTAATAAACTCTTGCCAATATATGCAAACACAAATAAAGGTATATTGGCTGCGGTCATTGTAGAGACGGTGCGCATTTGTTTTTCCTTCTCCTTTTTCATCATTTGCCCGGCAACTTCTTCCTTTTTGTTTCTTTTTGCCTTGCTCTTTAGTCATGAACGGTAACCCTTCGCTCCTTTTGTGTCAGTTTATGAATCATGTTACAATTTTTCTCCACAACATTTTTTCGTACTAGGCCCAGAAAAAAAGAAGGAGGACATGAAAAAGCAGAAAAAAAACGACATTCTGGAGAAGAGAACTAGCTAATTATTTTGCGAGAGCTCAACTTCTGGAGTGAAGTTTTAGACTGAATTTGAGGCGTCACAAAGAAACGGCAGAAGAAAACTTTTTTGACGTTCCTTCTTCAATCTCATCTTGTTGATTGCATTCCAACTTTCTCCTTCATTCTATACACTTTTTGTGTGCAACAAAGGAAATGAACCTTTTTTATAGGTGGTGGAAATAGTTTTAGAGAGATTCTACTGTAACAACAAAATACAAGTGGGAAGGGTTTTGAGCTTTTGGGCACTCAGGAAATTGGAAGAGCGGTCCTTTCATTTCTCCGATTAACCACACCCCGTCTGGGCTGTTATCACCATTCCCCATCACAATTTCCCGTGCGTTTCGTCTTTGCGATCAAAGGGTAATTAGAGCCGTCCGTAATCCACTAATCAAATATAAACCCAAATACAGAGAGATCGACCCCTCAAACGGAGGTTCAATATCTCTTGCCTGTCATATCGTTTTTTTTTTCTCCTCCTTCTTCACCTTTTTCTATTTTTTCTTGTTGTTTCTCTCCGCTTTCTACAGGACAGGAAGCAAGTTGCGATTTTTCTTTTGGCTTTTTTGTTGACTATTACTGTTTCCCACGGCCAAAGTGATAGGCAAGAAGTTCTTACGTTTACTCACTCCCGGGAAATCGCAAGAGTAGGGTGTTTCCAGTGATGTTTTAAAATAGTTTTTGAAGCTTTTCGAGGGCTTTCATTGAGTGCAATAGTTCGTTGAGCTGGTCTCGGATGTTGTGGTTTGTTCATCTTATCGAAGGTATCAAAAGTTGTAGTTAGTTACAAAACACACCTATACTCCAAAGTGTGCTTTGTTTTTTGATTTTTATCAAGTCCAATTAGTTGATGGATACAAAATTTCTCAAAATTACGTCGCTCTCGAATATTCACTCTAATTAGATACGTGTCTTACGGCGCGTATTCGTATTGTTACATAACAAGTATGTCGGTCATTGCTTAGCATTGACAGTAGACGTCCTTCAAGAAGCCCAAATCACACAAATGATTGCCTAGAAGGTTAGTGAAGCTAAAATTATTTTTAGTATTGATTCCAGTTCATCGATTAGTGAAATACAGTGGAGCAGCCTGTTTTTGTTAAACCTTGTCAGTTTTGAGACCATAAAGAAGTTGAGATAACTTTATTAAGATTCTATTGCGCCAATTTGAATCGATTCATTTCTTGGCTTGTCTAATTTTTTTTGAGTCCAAATTTGAGATCAACTTCTTACTGATTTCATTCAAAAGTACACGTCTAACTTTATCCAATACCATTGCAGCTGGTATTCGTGTCCTGTACTACAATGCTCTTTTCTGAATTAGTACCAGTTAGTTACGCTTACCAAAGGGTCAGTTAGAAAGTTTCCTGATGAATCCCCAAAAAATGACGCTATGGATAACCCTCAAGCACTACCGTAGCTCGTGCTTCGCGAAAAAAGCAGCTGAAGACTTTGAAATTTCTTTGATGATACCGAAAAGTATCTTCTTTTGTTAAAATAGAACACGAAAACTTCTAAGATGTTTGCGAAACGTTTGTGAGCCAGTTGGCTCCAAAAAGAGGGGCGGGAAGAATCGCCACATGTCTTTCCATTTTAGACAATCGCTCATTTCCTTCTCTCGCACTCCTTCTTCCTCTTTTTTTCCACTGGTTCCTCTCCTTGTCCTCCTCCGAGTGAATGCACTTCAATCAACGACGGCCAGCTTGTTTCTTGCAAAGGTCAGTTAGTGTTCGGAAGGCTAATTAGTTTTGTTGCCATTTGGTATGACTTCCGAGAAATTCCATGATTCTTCGGATTTATGGTCTTCGGGAATTCACTGTCCCTTT